CGTTTGAGATAGCAAACGTGAGTGTAAATCATGTGAGCTCTGCAGAAGGAAGCATTGCTAAAATTCACGGTATCTATTCATTATTAAAATCTCAAGCAAACTAGGAGAAAAGGGGACACACAGTAATCTAATAAAGAGAAGCTATTATACAATAAAACCTCTACTAAACCAGCATGTTAGTAAGAAACTGTAAAAATGTTCCTTTGAGATGTGAACAGAACAAGATGCTCACTGTCACAGCCATTCAACAATCTAGGACCTTGCATGGGTAAGGCAAGAAAACAAAAGAAAGGTATAAGGATCAGAAGGGAAGAAACAGAATGTCGTTATCCTGGAAATTATATTATGATTACCTACATAGAAAATCCATAGAAGCCTCAGATAGTTTTAGATATTAAGAAAGTTTCACAAGATTGCTGGATAAAGTCAATACAGAAAAATGAGATTACATTTCGTATATACAAACCACAGACATTTATAAAATGAAATATTGGCCGGGCGCAGTGGCTCATGCCTGTAATCCTAGCACTCTGGGAGGCCGAGGCGGGTGGATCACTCAAGGTCGGGAGTTCAAAACCAGCCTGAGCAAGAGTGAGATCCCGTCTCTACTAAAAATAGAAAGAAAATTAATTGGCTAACTAAAAATATATAGAAAAAAATTAGCCGGGCATGATGGCACATGCCTGTAGTCCCAGCTACTTGGGAGACTGAGGCAGGAGGATTGCTTGAGCCCAGGAGTTGAGGTTGCGTGGCCTAGTGCTAGGCTGATGCCACGGCACTCTAGCCAGGGCAACAGAGTGAGACTCTGTCTCAAAAAAAAAAAAAAAAAAAGAAATATTAATTATATGGATCAGCTGTGAGCGGTCGTCGGGTCAGTATCCAAGACCCTCCACCAGCTGTGAGCGGTCGTCGGGTCAGTATCCAAGACCCTCCACCAGCTGTGAGCAGTCGTCGGGTCAGTATCCAAGATCCTCTACCATCTGTGAGCGGTCGCCGGGTCAGTATCCAAGACCCTTCACCAGATTTCAGCAGTCGCCGGGTCAGTATCCAAGATCCTCTACCAGCTGTGAGCGGTCGTCGGGTCAGTATCCAAGACCCTCCACCAGATTTCAGCATTCGCCGGGTCAGTATCCAAGATCCTCTACCAGTTGTGAGTGGTCGTCGGGTCAGTATCCAAGACCCTCCACCAGCTATGAGCAGTAGCAGGGTCAGTACCCAAGAGATACCATCCATTACCCACTGTCACCATTTCCTTATTCGAGATGTTTCACAAATTTCCCAGCCTCGACGCATCAGTATCCAAAGCTCTGACTCCGGGGCCAGTATCAAATCAGTTACCCACAGTAGCCATGACCACATGCAAAAGTGCCCTCTGACAACTAAGACTCCCCACTTAAGTATTCAAAGTCACAGGACACAAAGCCGGGGCACTATTGATATACCCCCATCAATTACCATTAGCCCTGAGCCCAGTATCGAAAGCATGGAATCAATTATATGGCAGTCCCAGGAGAGTCTCCAAGAAGATGTGCTCAGCTCCCAACTCAAGCCAACTTCACTAGACAACATTGAGAGCATTTCATCATGTAGCACCATTGGAACCAGTTCTCTCCAGTAAGAGGCAGGGGCCCAGGCAGTAGGCCAATTTATGGGCTAGAGTTTGGAGGGAGGGGAAGCAGCTAAAAGTCAGGGAGGGACCTGAAGCATGGTTGGTGTATCAGAAACTAGAGGCATGGCAAGACTTGGAAGGTCGACCTAAAGGCTGGCCCTGGGTGAAGCAAGGCATAGAGGAGAGACCTGGGAGATACAGGGCATGGAGGGTGAACATGAGGTAGACACACTCTGAAGGCTGGACCTGGGGTGGCTGGGGAGGGTGGCTGGACTCAGTGCTGACAATGGCGTGGATGATTTGCTGCAGGTTGCAGAGCAAGTGTAGGCGCCATTCACTGTTGCCTGTGGGCTGGCAGCTGCTGCATGAGGCCAAGAAGATCAGCCGCCATCTAAGCCTGGTTTTGAGCCTGGCCGGCATAGTGGTCATCGGTCTCGTCACTCTAAGCCAGCCCTGGGTCCACTTCCAGGTGCCACTGAGGCCCCCTGGGGACCCTGCTGGCTCCCCAACCATTCTTATCAACACCGTCTTCTTTGTGCGGTGCCCTGACAGCTCCTGCCGACATGAGTACGACCAGAATGCTTGTAAGGCCTGCCCTGTCCTCACCACACCTGAGACTCATCTCTCCACTTTATCCTGGGGACCCCTTTATCTGTCACAGAATGGTTTCTTCCTTACCTGGAATTATTGTCACAGGTCCTGTGTGGTTCTCACTGCCCCAGAACAATGCTCAGAGACCCAGGAAGAGCCTCACTGGCCTGGGTGGTCCTCATGTCCCCAGGATGGTCCCCACTGCCTGAGATGGTCCTCACAGTCCTAGGGTGGTGCTCAGTGCCCGGGAATAGTCCTCATAGATTTAGAATGGTCCTCACTGCCCTAGAATGGCCCTTACTTCTGGGGATGTTCCCCATTGCCCACCTCACTTCTCACTGTCCAAGAACCTGTCTTCACCTATGCAGAGATATATCCTCAATGCTAGAGATATTGCCTCCATATCTCTTCTCTCTAGAGATTTAAATTTTCTTAAAATTAGAATAAATAATTTGCAAGGGAGGGTTTGAGAATATTCCCAGACTGACTGGTGACCCTTTCCCTCATGCTCAGAGCCTGAGGGCCAATCTTGGTGTCCCTGATTCTCTTCCTTTCCCAGACTTGTTGGACCTGGCCTGGGCCTTCCTCCTCTTCTCCAGCATCGCCAGCTTCTGCCTGAGCATGGCTCTAATGAGCACCATCTTCTTTGCCAACTTGAACCAGCACCTGTTGGATTTCTTCACCTTCATCACCAGCACCCTGGCAGGCACAGCACTAAGATCCTTTCCTCCAGAACCAAGGCGAGGAGTACTTCACCCAGTGACAATCATGAACTCCAACCCCATTCCCACCACACTCCAATCCTGTCCCCATCCTCACCTTCATCCCCAATCCCAATCCTGTCTTCTTGCAAATCTCCAACCCATCCCAATAAAAAATATCAACCTCGAGTCCAACCCCATATCCACCATCAACAAATGTCAAACTCATCCACATCCCTTTCCTTGATGTCCATCCCCATCCCTACCCCATCCTCAGTTCATCTTCTTTCCAGTATCCAGCCCATCCCCATTACCATCCAATTCAACCCAACCCCATCACCTGTGAACTTCAACCTCAAACTAAACCCCAGTCTACCTCCAACTCTATCTTCTCAATCCTCAACCCCATTCCACCACAACCACAACCCCATCCCTACTACCTATGCATGTCACTCTCAAACTCAACCCAACCCATTCCCAACTCCATCCTCTTACCCACATCCAATCCATCACCACTCCCAACTACAACCCTATGCCAACCACAATCCATTCCCATCCCACCATCCCCCTCAACCTCAACCTCCGTCCTCATCACTCAAACTTCAACCACCACCGATATCCAACCCCATTCAGAATTCTGTCCCACCACCAGGTCTGTGATTTTCTTCAAGCTACTTCATCTTTCCAAGCCACAGTTTTCTCATCTGTAGGATGGAGACAAAATTTCCTACCATGTGGAGATACCGTGAGGATTGAATTAGAATACGTCAGTACTTGATGGCAGCTATTTATTTTTGCACAAGTCCTTGCCATGATAACTCTCCCACTCCCATCCAAATATTATAACTAGTATTTATCCAGTTTGTCTGGTAGCTCTTCCTAAATTGTTTCAATATAAGGTACAAAGTGTAGGAAACACTTTGATCTTAATGTCATTTGAAATACTTGGAAGGACCCAGTTCTTAGTACTTCAGAAGCTCAAAACTAAAGACCCAATATAATGATAATGATCATTCCAATCCTTGAGGGTTTACTATGTGCTGGAAATGGCACATAGTCAATAACTCCTCCTGACAGCCCTAGGAGGTGGGTCCCCTGCCCACTCTGCATGAGGGAACTGAGGCTCGCTGAGATGGAGTGGTTGCCCTAAGGTGAGAGGCAGAGGCCGGAAAGAGCCCTGCTCTGTTGGCCTCAAAATCTGTGGTTTTAGACATGTCATTGTCTGGTTAAAGAACATGGTTTGCACTTCCAACATCCTCTAGCATGACATTGTTAGGAGCCCATCTTCCTGCTAGTGAGCAAAGGCACAGGGGCTGAGGGCTAAAGAAAGTGGGGAAATAATGAGCAAGAGCCAGGCAGCCACACAACTAGGGGTAGGGGACATGCCTGATTCCTGGCATCCTAACACTCGTGTTCTTGCAGGGACCAGCATCACACTGGGTATCCTGTTCTACCTCCTGCAAGCCCAAATGTACCTGCAGGAAGGCATGACCTACAAGCTGGGGCTCAGCTTCTACTTGGCATGGACTGGTGTCTTCCTCTTCCTGATGATTGGTCTGGGCTGGGATGGGGTTGAGTCTGGGCATGGGTATAAGGATGCAGATAGGTATTTGTGTGGGACAGAGTTTGGGATGAGGATGGGGTTGCAGACAAGGATAGGGAGGATGTGTCTGAGGCAGGAGACAGGGCTGGGATGCACATGGGGCTGGATGTGGGGATGGGGTTGGGCTTGAGTTTGAAAATGGGTTGGCGACAGTGTAGGGGATAGAATTGATTCTGGGTTTAGGGATGTGTTTGGGAATAGATGAGGGGATGGGATGGAATCGGGGGTGGGTTTAAAAATAGGCTTAGGGATGAGGCTGGGTTTGGTGATGGGGTTGGACACAGTGTAGGGTGTGCAGTTGGGCTTGGGGACAGGACTGGGATTAGGGTTGGGCTGATGAACTCTGTGTCCCATCCCCTCTGTCATTTTGCTTTCTCCAGGTTTCTTGTCCTATCTGAATCACAAAAATTTCTGGTCCATCCTGGCAATCCAGGCCATCTGGTCTTAGGACGTGGAAATGACCCCACTGCTGGCCTGCTCCCGCAGCTCTTTGTCATGCACCTGACAACCCTGGTCTCTAGCCCCCACCTCCACCAAGACCCTTGTCCTTTTTCAGTCCCTTCTGACTCCTCTCAACCCAGATTAATAATTTGTATTTTTAAATCTGTATTCTCTGCCCAGACTATTCTTTCATTTAGCTCAGTACCTTGCAAGTATTCTGTGGAATTGCCATCCTTGGACCCTCTGCACTAGAGGGACAGGGAAGGGGAGGAACTCAGAGGGAAGGGACTCAAGGTACAAGATGGGCAAAGAGGCTGGGCCAACAGTCTCTGGCAGAGAGACAGCACCCAGAGGGGACAGAGGCCAGGTCGTCAGGGGCCCCGTCGGCCACAGTGAGGGCTTTGCTTTTGTTCTGGAGTGGGGCAGTGACAGAAATGGCTCTTATTTCCCTAAGAGAGGGATTTAGGTTTCTTCTTTTTACTTCGTATCACAAGGTTCATGGAAGGAGTTTCCTCACTAGAAGGAAGAAAACCACCCAAATGACCAGGGGGACAGCGTATTGTAGTCACACAAAGGAATCCCTTGCCTTTGCCTTGTACTTACAGGACACATTATAGTGAATAATAATAATTAAAAAAAGCATCTTTACCCATAATGTATGTATGTGTGTGGATATGAAGTAACAAGTCCACACCAAATTGTTGATAATGGCAATCTCTGGTGAGGGAGTTTGGAGTAGGAAGTTTCATTTTTTTTTTATTTTCAAAAAAATTTTTTACACTCACGTCAGTTGAAAGATACTCCTCAGATATCTAATCCTACCAAGGATCCAGGCCCCCAGGCCTTCGTCTAAACGGGATGAGTGCCAAATCTTGACCTCTCTCAGCCCCAAGTGTCTCTTCTCTCAAAGGCAGGAATCCTGACCCCAGCCCCCTCCTCCCCCAGACCCGGAGGTCCAGGCCCCCTAGTCCCTTCGTCCCCTAGACCCTGGGGCCCTCCCCCACACTCTGGGGTCCGGGACCTCCGACTACCCTCTTTCAAGACCGGGTTCGGCCAGCTCCCTCCCAGACCGCAGGTTCGCTTCCCTACCTGGCGTCCTGCTCCAGGACGGCCCTGTCATTGCTGCACTGGCCCTGTCAGTCTCCTGCTCTGGAGCCCGGACTTACTTGGTGGGCGCTTTCAGCATCCACCCGCCTCCGCGGCCACAGCTAGGGCCCCGCTGCGCTGGCACTTCCAGTTGCCTGTTGTGCCTGCTGCCTTCTTCTCGCTTCTATCCCTCTTCTTCCTTCCTTCTTCTTCCTTCCTTTCCTTCCTTCCTTCTCTCTTCCTTCCTTCTCCTTCTTCTTCCTCCTCTTTCTCCTTTCTTCTTCTTCTCTCTCCTTCCTCCCTCTTCCCTTCCCTCCACCCACTTCCTTGCCCTCCTTCCCCCTTCCTGCTCCCTCTCCTGTTTTTTTTCTTTCTTTTGTTTCTTCTCTCTCTGTCCCTTTTCCCCTCTCTTCCTTCCTCTCTTTCTCCTGCCCTTCTCTCCCCCCTCCTCTCTTCCCCTTTCTTTTTTCCTTTCTTTTTTATGTGCCTTTTTTTGTCTTTAAAAAATTTTTTCAATAGCTTTAGGGGGTACAAGTGGAATTCCGTTACATGTTTTCCAAACATAGGGGTCTTCTTTAATATCTCTTAAGAATATTTTATAATGTTTTACACAAAGGTCTTGTGCATCTTTTGTTAGATTTTTTCCCCTAGATTTTTGATATTTTTTAAATGCCAGTATAAATGTTATCCATAGTCTATGTATTTATTTATTTAATTTTATAAATGTATGTGGTTGGTAAATAGAAATTTAATTCAATTTTCTGTACTGACTTTGTCCAGTTTAAGAGTAGAGTGGTGAAGTCTCGGTTTTAGTGTACCCATCACCTGGATAGTGCCTGTAGTACCCAATACGTAATTTTTCATCCCTCCCTCCCTCCACTCTTGGCCTCTTTGAGTCTTCAATGTCCACTCTCTGCGTCCTTGCGTAGCCATAGCTTAACTTCTGCTTATAAGTGAGAACATACCTCTATTTTTTTTTTTTTTGTGAGACAGAGTCTCGCTTTGTTGCCCAGGCTTGAGTGAATGCCCTGGCATCAGCCTAGCTCACAGCAACCTCAATCTCCTGGGCTCAAGCAATCCTCCTGCCTCAGCCTCCTGAGTAGCTGGGACTACAGGCATGTGCCACCATGCCTGGCTAATTTTTTCTATATATATTTTTAGTTGGTCAATTCATTTCTTTATATTTTTAGTAGAGATGAGGTCTTGCTCAGGCTGGTTTCTAACTTCAAACCTCAGGCAATCTGCCTGCCTCGGCCTCCCAGAGTGCTAGGATTGCAGGCCTGAGCCACCGCGCCTGGCCCTGAACATGCAGCTTTTATCTGAGTTACTTCATTTAAGATAATGGCCTCCAGGTCCATCCGTGTTGCTGGGTTGCCTCTTCTTGATTATATCACAAACAAAAACTAATACCTTCTTATTTCTTCTTTTTTTAATTACAAAAGAGATCCATATCCATCATAGAATATTTGAAAAAAGAGATAAGCAAAATTAAGTAAATATTAATAAATTCAGCCTGTAATTTAGTCACCCAGAGATAACTACTATTAAAATTTAAGTATTCCCTTGCTATTTATTTTTTAAAGTTTTTTATCATTTGGTTTTTTTTTTTTTTAGAGACACAGTCTTGCTCTGTTGCCCCGGCTGGAGTGCAGTGGCTTGATCATAGCTCACTGTGGCCTCAAACTCCTGGGCTCAAACCATCCTCCTGCCTCAGCCTCCAGGGTAGCTGGGACTACAGGCATGCCACCAATGTCTGGTGAATTTTTTGTAGGGATGTGTCTCACTATGTTGCCCAGGCTATATTTCCCTTTTTAAAAAAGCCTTTTATTTTTCATATGAAATTTGATAGAATACAATTTACCTATTTTTCCTTTTTTAAAAAAATTTATCATCTTTATAATATTTTATTTTTAATAAGAAAAATGCTTTGTTTTTAAAAAAAAACACATATTATTCAGTCGCCGTAGGGACCGCCAAAAGTCGCCAATGCCGACTATATTGCAGTCGTCATGGCGGGGTTTGGGAAACGTTTCAATTAGCGAATAATCGGCACTGGCTAAACTTCATTGGCTATGATACTGCCACTGTGCAAAACTTACAGTTAATAATTTTGTTCGTTATTAAGAAATCCTTTCCTGAGTCATGAAGACATTCTTCATATTTTCTTCTAAAAGATTTATACTGTTTGCCTTTCAGATAAGGCTAATAATCCAAGTAGATTGATTTCCGTGTGTGATGTGCAGTAGGGACAATTCTATTTTTTCCCCTCAGACGGATTTCCAAGACCATCCTTTTTCCCCATTATTCTGAATTTCACTTTTTGTTGGAAATCAATCGTCCACACAGAGTGGATCTTTCTGGCACTGGTGCCCAGTGATCTGTCTGTATGTTGACAGGGTCTGATAGGCGTATCCTTTGTTTTGGGTAACAAACAACCCCAACATACAATGGAGTTAAAACTTCAAAGTCATCCTTTTCATTGGCAGGTCACTGCTGATGCAGGAGGTGTGACAGGGGAACTGTTGTTGAGTGCGAAGTGTCTGCACCATGTTGAGCACATCTGCATCCGGAGAAGAGAGACTGGAAATGGTCGTGAGGTTTGCGTTGACTCAGCATTCAAACGTCACCCATCACTCCCTTCCTCTTAGCAGCCCATTTGCCAGAACCAGTCAGAGAGCTCCACCCACCTGCAAAGGGTTGGTGCTGTCTGCCGTGTGCCTGGAAGTGGGGATACCAGATATTGGAAATGCTAATGACGTGTACCTCCATCTCCTTGAATGAATGGCCGTCTTAATCACACAGTTTAATAGTAAGACTCCATACCTGTAGAAACAATCCTCCAACCCTGTGTTTCTTCTTCAAGAAGGCTTGGCTAGTCTTGAATCTTGGCAATTCCATATGAACTGTAAAAGTGCATACGTTCTTTAGAAACCCGTTGGGACTTATTATTGAGTCCATAGCTCCATTGAGGAAGAATTGACATTTAAAACAGTGAGTGTTTCAACCCAACAACATAGACTTTCTCTCTTTTAATACAGGTCTTCTTAATCTCTCTCACAATATTATAATGTTTTGCAAAGGTCTTGCACATCTTTTGTTAGATTTTTCCCCTAGGCTTTTGATATTTTTTAACATTAGTGAAGATGTTATCCATATATATTAATATTTCTTTTTTTTTTTTTTTTTGAGACAGAGTCTCACTCTGTTGCCCTGGCTAGAGTGCCGTGGCATCAGCCTAGCTCACAGCAACCTCAAACTCCTGGGCTCAAGCAATCCTCCTGCCTCAGTCTCCCAAGTAGCTGGGACTACAGGCATGTGCCATCATGCCCGGCTAATTTTTTTCTATATATTATTTAGTTAGCCAATTAATTTCTTTCATTTTTAGTAGAGACGGATCTCACTCTTGCTCAGGCTGGTTTTGAACTCCCGACCTTGAGTGATCCACCCGCCTCGGCCTCCCAGAGTGCTAGGATTACAGGCATGAGCCACTGCGCCCGGCCAATATTTCATTTTATAAATGTCTGTGGTTTGTATATAGAAATGTAATTCATTTTTCTGTATTGACTTTATCCAGCAATCTTGTGAAACTTTCTTAAATTCTAAAAACTATCTGAGGCTTCCTATGGATTTTCTATGTAGGTAATAATATAATCCATGGGTAACGACAATTCTGTTTCTTCCCTTCTGATCCTTATACCTTTCTTTTGTTTTCTTGCCTTACCCATGCGAGGTCCCTAGATTGTTGAATGGCTGTGACAGTGAGCATCTCTGTTCTGTTCACAATCTCAAAAGGAACATTTTTACAGTTTCTACTAACATGCTGGTTAGTAGAGGTTTTATTGTATAATAGCTTCTCTTTATTAGATTACTCTGTGTCCCCTTTTTCCTAGTTTCTGAGATTTTAATAATGAATAGATACTGAATTTTAGCAAATGCTTTCCTTCTGCATATATTGAAATGACCATATGACTTTTTTTCCTTTGATCTGGCAAGATGGCACATTACATTGATCTTCTGAAATTCAAGTGACATTTATAGTAACACTTACACTAGCATCCTGGAATAAACTAAGTTTGGACATG